TTTTTTTTCTACGGACTACAACCCGACTTGGATGTGGATAGTTTTTCAGTTTTTTTTTTTTTTGCAACATAATTTTTCGATACGTGTGATATCTTGTGACAATATTGTGTATTCATTGGTTTTTGTGCAACAAAAATTTTTTTATCAATATTGTAATAATTTTTGAACGAAAAGAATGAACTTTATTATCTTGAAAAATGTTTAAAAAAATCCATAAAGCGAGTGTATAGCCCAAGCCTGCTGATTATTGTACAGCCCGACCTTTTGCAATTTTAATCCAAATTCCTTGGAATGCTGGAGTGTTTTGAAGCTCGGGCGTAAGATTAATATCGGAAATTCCCGGGCAAGAAGTATCCCAAAAGTATGCACCCCCGCGGGTATACACACCTGGCGAGGTCGTATCTGCGTATCTGCAGAAAGTGCTTGCACAGCTCGTGAAAGATCCAGAGTATCTCGAGCGGCGAGCTGGCCAGGGCGAGCCTCCACCTGCACTTGTCGAGGGCGGCCCTCACGTCCAGACACCTCGGCCAAGCCAATTCGCTGTCCCGCGGCAGCTTACCCCGCAACCTCAGTCCCAGGGCTCGGCGCAGGTACGCCTCCTGCCTCGCCTCCGACTCCCCGCAGAGGCGCTGCAAGTTCCGCGGGTCGAGGTACGCCCGCGCCACCATGCGGTACAACCCCTCGAGGAACATCTCGCGCCCCGGCAACAGCCACTCCCCCAACTCCTCCATCCTGTCCCTGGCCCGCTCCACCAACCTGTGCCCGCGTACACATGTACAAGTCCCGTTTCGTGACAGCACCAGACCAACCGTACCGGAAGAAGCTCGGGTAGTCCCGGCACAGCCTGGCCTCGTGGAGGCCGCGCAGCATAAAGTAGGCCATCCTCCTGGCCAAGCAGCGCCTCAGCAGCACCTCCCGCCAGTTCTCCTCGAGCCGGGCCACCGTCAACGCCGCCCTTGCTTGGGCCCGCACCACGTATAAGGGCTTGCGCGTCCTCAGCGCGTCCTGCTGGCTCTGCAGCCTGTCGAGGAAGTCCCGCGTCTCGGCCACCAGTAGAACGCTGCCCCCTTTGTTAGCCGAGGGTAGGGCCCTGTGTCTCACGAGGCCCTTCAGGAAGCCCTTGTCGCTGCAGCTCGGCCCCAGGTACAGGCTCGCCATCCTCCGGTCGAGCTTGCGGTGCCGCTCCACCAGTCTGGCCTCCGGGTCGTCGACCTTGAACTTGTCCTGATCCTCGTCGATACCTGCCACGGGGACGATTACCAGCGTCAGCGAGACCTCGCGCGAAACTTTGCTGCTTGGGGCTCATACCCTCGAACTCGTCCTCCTCCTCGTTGAGCTTGTCCAGGAGGTCGCGCCGGTGGGCCTCGAGCCGGGCGATCCACGGCTGCATTCGGCTGACCACGTCGGCCGAGACGTTGGCGCCCACGCAGTTGTCGACGGTGCCGTTGGCGAGCAGTACTGCATTCTTGAAGTGCCTGCGACGCCTCAGGCCGCGGTGAGCGTACACGAGGCTCTCGCAAAACTCGGCTATGTCGAACAGCGCCTCCATGCGCGTGTAGTACGCCCCCAAGTGGCTTGGGTCTGTGTACGTATACGCGTATCTTTTAATAAGAATGGAGGGGGAGTGGTTTTTTTTTTTTTTTTTTTTTTTTCTCCCAATTGTGCTGTTGAACTACTTGTTTCCCACTGGAGGGGGGGGATTCTTAATTAAATCGGGGCAGTCGCGCGTAAAAGGAAAAAAAAAAAAAAAACAAT